CAATCGATAGTAAAATGTAAGTGCATTGCGAGTTTTGTCGTTTAGTAAAACATTTGATTTTTTTGAAGGGTATACCGAATACATACAGTGTATTTTCTTTAAAAAAAAAATGAACAGGTACATAATTTTTGTATTTTTCATGTTTTACTCGAACGTTTACAGCTTTTCTCCGAAAAACAATGGAAAAATACCCTCGACCGCTAGTTTAGACCGGGAAACGATCAGAGAACTTTTAAAAGACCAAGAGGCTAATTCGGAATGGAGTCATATTTTAAGTAGAAATATTTCATTCAAGAATACATACGAGCCACTGAAGGAGTACATTGATACTAACGGCGATTCTTCCGAAGAAATTCAACACATTAACGTGCTCAACGTGTTGCAGAAATATGCCGAAGACGATGTGATGAATAAGAAAGTAAGTATCGACGTTATACGTGGCTTAGTCGAAGACGCTACCGACTTTGCCGGGTTGATGGATACCAACTTGTATGCAATGTTAATTCTCAATGACTTGTTACTTTACTACAACAGTTTTAACGATGTAATAACCAAAAATGTAACTACCGATATTGAAAAAAACGTGATACGCTGCACAACGGCCTATCACCAGCACCATATGAAGTTCAATATGACCACAAATGAGGGTACAATTAAATTCCGGTTAGCGGGAAATTTACTGCGAAACACAAGGGAAACAGATTTTACATGGACGAGTATAATAGGAAAAATGACCAACCTAGATATCTGTTACCGTATTCGTCTAGGGGAATTCAACGACATATTCAACGCCAGCGGGACGGTCAATCCTTTAGTAATCGATTTACACGAGGTTATGACTATTCTTATTTTTACAATAAGAAGTATTGATAAAAAGTTGCAAGGAGCGTGCGTGGCTCACGAGGGTGATTTGGTGAGCAAATACGAATCTTTATTGGATGAACTCAACAAACAATTCGACCAGTTATAAAAGGACGTGAAAGCAAACAAAGCAACCAAAGCGGCTTGGAAATTGATTAAGAGATATTTTTCAGAATCCGAAGACTCATCTGAGCTAACCAATAGCGATGGTTCAAAACAAGCTGACTATGTTAGCTGCTGAAATCATCCTTAAAGTCCCGTTTCTCATACAACAAGTAAAATTTACAAATGAAAACCATACGATTTTATTGGACCTAGCGCATGGCGAAGAGACAGAAGAAAATAGGTAAATTACCACTGATAGAAAAATATAAGTTTAAAAAAAACTAGTACAGTGGGGTCAGGGAATAGTGGGGATGGGATCATTAGGGGTCTACAGGAATTTTTATAACCAAAAGTGATAAAACTACTTTTAAATAAACGCTTAGATGCCAATCTGTAGATATTAGGTTTAATCCAGTACAGTGAAAATCGAGCACAGTATAAACCATTTAGAAAGTATTAGCATTGATTATGTAATAGACAGATAGGCTATACAATGTTAATATTTGGCGTCTTGCCGTGTGATGCAACCGTCATGGAGTGCTAGTGTAGCCGGGATGCAAGGTGGTGGTGCCTCCGCCATAGGTTGATGAGCGGTGTAGAAGAGTGCCGGGAATGCCGGGTGGTACCTCTGCCGTAGGTCGATGGGCGGTGAGGAGAGGGGGAGAAATAGCTAATCATGCCGTCTACAGCTGACTGTTGTCGCTGTTCTAATAATAGAATGTTTATTCCAAAAAATTCAATGCATTTTTATTAAATTATCTTTGACTATCATCCGGTCATCATTTTGTAATGGTTAAAATGTTTTGATACGTTTTTGACATACGTGTACATTACAATTTTTAATATTATTTTTATTTGTATTATTTTACTTTTGCGCTTACGACTTTTTAAAATATGGCCGGTAATAAGTGTCAATATTTGAATTGTGGGAAATCGAAAAAATATTTTCCAGATTTAAGATTGTACCGTATTCCAAAAGACGAGAGAAGAGAAATTTGGATAATAAATTCGGGTTAGTAAATTAAAAAAGTTGTAAATAACAGTAATAAATTTATAATATTTAAGAACAATCAACAAAAGCAGTAAGATAGCCTTTTTTTATATCATTATTATTATTATTATTTATTTATTGACAAATTTATTAATTTAATGACATTGAAAAGCTCATTTATTCATTACCCGAGTTGGATAAATCTATAAAAGTGAAAACATCTTATAATGATATTATATAGAATGTGATAAATTATTATACATTTTAAAATGTATAATTTTTAAACAGTAAGATGTTTATTACTTCTTTTGTTTGTTTCTAACTAAGATGGTTCAATAAAATATAGTTATTTTTATTGACTTTTTTTTAATTTGTTTGTAAGAAACACAAGTTTATTTTCAATTGAACCAGAAAAACTGCACAATAGGTACATTTGTCAAGAACATTTCCCCCCTGAGAGCTTTATAAATGTTTTTAGTAAACATAGATTAATAAGTACTGCTGTTCCATATAAATACAAATCAGTTGTCTTAAAGTAAGAATAAATAATATTAATAATTTTTTGATAAAAAAAAAAAAATGAAATAATAAATACAAAGTTCGGGTCAAAAAACAAGATAGCTCCAACAATTTTGGGTTAATTTTAGCTCACATTTCAAATCAAAAACCTTAATCAAATCACGTACTACGTCATCTTTTTCATCATGGTTTAATATACATTAATTGATATTAACATTAGTTTTACCTTAAGCTCAATATTTTTAAAATAGTTTTTTTTGTTTCTTGAAAAGTTTAAAAAAATGGAGTTGTCTCGTTTTTGCACGGACCCCTTCATATTATAGTCAGCTTATTTGATAGGAAAAATTTGGATTTTAAAAGTGGTCTTAAGAGTTGCAATCTGGAGTTGATCGATTTGCGTTTTTGTTTTAAATGCGAGTTCCATGTTAGACGTTTATCAAACGGTAGCCTCAGGTACTTGATTTAGTTTTCTGCGGGTATTACTTTATTGTTGAACGAAACCGGTGAACAGTTTGAGACGAACAGTAAAGGAACGGTCGGATAAGTATGACTTAATTAGGAGAAAATAAGAAGCTGGGAGGAACTTTTTTAATTTGTATAATAAGCCATCGTGCCACACCCTGTCCAACGCATTTTAAAACTTTTAACTTTTCAACTTGACTTACTTTCTTTATTTCTTCTTTTATCACCCTTTCTTGATAAAATGATACCCAGTTTATTAACTGTACTTATTTTTCTAGAATATAAATCCAAATCTAAATAACTTGACAAATAAGGATTGGAAGAAGATATTTAACAAATACGACAGCGAGAAAAAAGGTTCAATCTCTGCAGCGGTATTACAGAAATTATTATACGAAGAATTCAAAGTATTTATCACCATTCACCATGCAGAAAAATATACATCTCCATATAATAATTATATGAATTATTTTTAAAAAAGTAATACAAATGCTAAAAAAGTGTTATACAAAGAAATCATTCTACAAATGCCTTAATTATTTTCAGGCCATAAAATAGGATTGAAACAGTTGAAAAAAATGAAACTGATAATGTTTGTTTTGTCACATATACGTTACTATTTAAAATTCTCAAGTTCATACGGTTTTAACATTTAAGAGATTGGGTTATATTTTTCAAAAATATATTAAATTTGTCCCAACTTATAACTATAAAATTATAAAAAAAAGTAATTAAAAAATATCTAATGTCTTTTAAGTTATTGACTGGTCCATAGTTCCAATCATTGATATAACCTAGTCGACAAAATATTAGTATAATGTACCATTCAAGAATAGATACCAATAATTTGTAAAGTTTTTAGTATTTTTTTTTTTCAATTGCAAGCCAAAAACATTTTTAAAAATGTAAATTTGTTTCAGACATTACAATAAATTGCTCAAAATAATATTGAGAAATACACCATGCACAATAATATTATACTAGATACGTTTTTTATTACAATACACATATATACATTTCAATAGGATTAAACGGTTGTTAGTAAACAACAGATTATTTATTTAATTTGTTTAACTACCAAAGATTTAATAAATATATTACATGTAATGAAATATTTGTTTATATATTTTTCAATTTTTCCATTATACTTTGATGGATACAAAATAGTCCTTTCCTTTTACCTTATCACTTAATATTATGTTAATAACTTAAAAAGTTTATAATCAAATCTAATATGAAATCAATAGGTTTATTATGTCTTACAATTTATCTGATAAATCTACAATTTTTTAACTTGAATATCGAAAGCAATTTTATAAAATAAAAACAGTATGGATAGTTGCGGAAATCGGTTATTTTTTATTTAAACAATTAGGTTTTAGATTAGTACTCGTGTATGCCTATTAATTGGTACAACATAATGGTTGTCCAGCTATTATTTAATATCCAACTAATTATTGATTCAGGAAGACGAGCGTTAGATGTCACCCCAATAATAATGAAATAATGTACCTATTATTTTCGATTGACCATTTCATACTTATTGTAGATTGTTAATTGTCAATAGCTTTGTAGCTACTAATAAATATTTACATACTTAATGCAGAGCTGTCCTCTTGACCGTTTTGTGTCCAATTTCCACTTGTAGCCAACAGCTGTGCTTGGATGCCATAAAATCTAGCGGTACAAAATTTGTATTAGTTATTAGTTATTATTATTCAACTAAATTTAAAACTAAAATTTATTTATCTATAGCGTTTTGATGACACTTAGAGTTGTAAATGAACCTCTATGTTAAAATATGTAACTGTGCAAATAGTTTAGCCTAAAATTATATCCAACTACTATATTTTAATATAGTAAATGGATTATAGTTTATAGTTTTGGTTTTTATTTAATAACAAGAACGATCATCTAATTGAATATGTTGTAGCTATTAAATGTGGTTCTATTGAAGTGTTTTATCAGAAAAAAAAACAACGCTTGTCTACCATAGTATATTGCACCGTCACCGTTGTAATTGTATAAGATAACGAGGACAGTAATAATATTGTGGCCATGCCGTTGATATGGCTTAAGTATTATAACGTATCAGTCTGGGTTTAGTTATCAATAGTGCATGTATTGCTTTGAAAATCGAAGAAGCCTGAAAGCTGTTAGTGTTTACCACAAAAGTTCACAGTAAGTAGTATGTTATGGGTTTCGTGTATTTCAATAAATTATCGCTAAAATTGTGTTCTTCATAAAGGACACTTATTTTCTTTTAAAAATAATCGAAAACTCAAAAACTCAAAGTATAGATTTTGTTGGATTTTTTTGAGGAAAAACGGTAGTTTATTTTATACTATTAGACAATATTCAAATTTGTAGTTATTATTCAAAACTGGTTATAGATCAGGCAAAATTTCCTGCAATTAAAATTGTTAGTTAAACGATGCGTTACCAATTATGTTTCAAAAGTATATTATTTTAAAATTTCTTTAAAAAAATGTTTCCAAAAAGAAAATCAGCTAAACAATTATTTATCAATTTCTGACAAAATTAGTGTCTTACGTTTTTTTTTAAATATTTCGTTTAACTATAGATTACATGTATTTACTTATTTTCAATAATACATACCAACTAAAATGTATTTTAAATAAGTATTACTTATTTTTGGGCTCATCATTATGGGTATTATTGAAAACCATAAGGAGAGAACCAAGAAAGGACTATATATGTTTCTAGAAAGTAACAAGTCTGAGGTACTGCATTATAAGTAATGGAGAATTATTTGCACTTAAGACTTTAGATTATAAATATTTAGTTATTTTTTTAGCATAAGAAATTTTTTTTTGAAAAACCACTATTTAATGTAATAAAACGTCTATTTAATAAGATAATTATTTTAAAAAGTAGGGTTACTTGATAAAGTCAATGGTCTATAACAAATTAAGACTAAATTAAGTAAATGTAAGTTTTAGGTCAAAGGAAGAGATCTAGTAAAAGTTAGTTTGAATCTATTTGAACATAATATTTCCTATAATTAATTATCATGCTAAAAATTACAAGTAGAAATTATTTTTATTAACAAAATAGTAATTTTATTTAACCATCTAATAATAATACACTTTTATGTAATAGTTGATTCTTATTTTATTTACTTAATATTGTTTTGAATTAAAACGAAATTAATAATATATTGTTATTTTATTTTTATGATAATTTTTTATTCATTTAAACAAAAAATAATCTAAATTAGGTATATGACTTTAACAAATGCAACCTTTGTCGAATCAATGTTTTGATGGCAGGACTTCTCTATATTACTTTATGATTGTTTGTTTAACAGTCTATAGTAGATGTTGCAGATTATTTAAACATTTTTCGGCTGGCCAGGGATTTGAGAGCATAAACATCTGAAATAAAAAGTGTACGGTTAGTTAATATAATTTTCGGCCACCAGTGTCGTCATTTCAGTTTTTGAAAGGGGAAGGCAAAAGTTTTGACCAGCCCATTTTTTTTTAACAAATTCATAATTTTAAATTTGTTAATTTATTATCATAGACACAAGTAGTCCAACATTTTTGAAAAGAATAATGACCAAAAAACGATGTGGGGCTGAAAAAATATTATACCTACTCGACGCGAACTTAGTTTAGAGGGACTTGTCCCTTCTAAAAAAAAATAACAAATGTATATATTATATACCTATTTATATTTATGTGTCTCTTTATATCAAGCAACAACTGGCTATTTATTACTGTAGTTAAAACAAGATACTATTAATTTTTAAAAAAATTTCGATTGTGTTAAAGAAATGTATTTGAAATAGAAGTAATTGTGATTAAAATAATTAGGATTAGAGAAAAGAAAAACGGAAGAAGTTAAGACGATAACATTATTACAGCCACTAAATAGTTGACAAAATTTAATCATAAAAAAGTCGACCTGCTGTCAATAAGGGATGGCAAATGCCCACCTTGCCCTCCCCAAAATGTCACCGCTGTCTACCACGCCTTAGCTATTCTTAAAGAACCTGCAATATATTTTAGAGTCTTAAGATGTCGTAGGCAACTTAGAAATTTTAGTGGAAAATAGAATAGGCGTATTTAAGGTTCTCAAATCAACTATTGTAGACAATGGAAGAATTTATGACGATGTGGCTAAAGAGGTGCCTACCAGGAGTGTAGTGTAATAATAAAGTGCCATTTTGAATTGAAGTAGCTCGAACGAGAATGTAAAATTGTCTGACGTGTGGAGTGACACGTTACACAGCGTTAATAATAAATACATAAGGAGTAGTTTGGATCGAAACCTCAATAGATTGAGATAGAGTATGCGTGTTGAAAGATGGGAGGAAAATAAAATATTGAAATAACGAAGAGAAGGATTAGTAGATTTTGGGAATGAACATGCTCTGATAACGCAAACGGTAAATCGACCAACAACGAAAGCGTTTGCGAAGACATTGAAAAACACGAATGGGCTTACGTAACAGTTAGTAATCGTAATTCATATTATTATTCATAGTACTTGATCTAATATTCTCAGTTTAGACTTAAGCGTGACGAATCCCTACTGTGATACGAGTGACGGAATCTAAATATAATAATTATTAGCAAATAATGTACTCGAGTGTGGTTTTAATGTGTACAGCATCAATGCACAATGGACCTGCGAGTGTCAAGGATCTACGTGTACCCGATCAAATCCTGTGGAGGTGTGAAGGTCGACGAATGGCCATTGGAAATGTATGGATTTCGATATGACCGCATTTGGGCGGTGTTCAGCGAAGACGGTTTGTGCGTGACGCAGTTGGAAGAACCCAAAATGTGTCTGATACAACCGGAAATAAATTTATCCAAAGGCAAAATGACTCTCACGTACGCCGGTAAGACGGATTTTAGCGTTGATTTAAAAATATTTACAGATAAGCGGTGCCATACACAAAAACGGCGACCGATTTACCAGGGATTCCCGCCGTCAACGGAGGTACCGTCGACATAGTTTACCGTCCGCCCGTCCATAAACTATGACGCCGGTATCACTGTTGACGGCGGGAATCCCTCAAAAATCGGTTACCGTTTTTGTGTATAGCACGGCTCATCTGTATAATTTAAAACCAACCGTTTTAGCTTCGATGCGTAGCTGTGCAGGTATTGAATTTACAATGATGTTTTTTATTTATTTTCGTACCTGGACCTACGGTATCTTCTTAACCTCTGAACACACTTTTTATTGTAGCAACTTCATAGCTCAGAAATCGTACCTAAAGGGTACTTCATTGGACCAAAAATTTAAAAAGTTCTATTTGTAATATAATATTGTTTATATGTTTATTTAGGTATTTTACTTCAAATTTATTTATTTCGATGTGGAGCTGAAGTCTAATTACACTTATGTTTTCAAATATTCAATAAAACAAATGTATACCTATACAATAGTTAATTAATCTCAACATAACTAATATATTGTCTAAACTATAACATTTTTAATACTGGACCAACTTTTTCGAGTACCACGTTAAATTATAATAATGCCTGCAGACCGGTGACCTCCCCGTTTCCAATATGCTTTGACCCCCACTATGTATTAACCCCATTGCACTGGCTTAATCGGATAAAATCATTTTCAAATAAACACTTTGATGCTAATCGGTGGACACTGTTTGAACCCACCGGTGTTGTTGTAGGCAACGTGGACGAGACTCCGATGACCGTGGACTTGGAGACCAGCAAGAGCGGCAACAGCAAAAAGGGTAAAATCTCTTGGGGTGGTTCGCTTGAGGGAATCGACTGCGGCGAAGAGGTGGCGGCGTGGCTGAGCTTTAATCTGGACGTGCCCGGACTGAGACTGATCAGGTGCACCGCTCGCAATCCGCCAAAGGCCAACGAATTCGGTTAGGTTATCGACAAGTGGTCTTAAGCTGTTAAATCATAATAACGTGCATCGAAATTCCATCTTGAATACGCCGTTGCAGGAATGTTAGACCCAAAAGTGATGGCCGCCAGCCAATGTCAGTACCTGCTGACGACCGAGTCGACCGTGAAATGGTTAATGAACGAGCTGGAAGACGACAACGGTGCTATGGATTTCGACAACGTCCTGTATCGGTTTCGGAGCAACATTTTGATTGCCGGCCATTTGCCAGCCAACTCCGAAGTCAACTGGACCGAAGTGACCATAGGTGGTACGAAATTTCCGGTTAGTGGCAAGCACTGAACTCAATATTTATATGAAACGCGTATCTGGATTGAAAAATGCCCCCCCCCCTCGAAGGCAGCCATTTTGTGTACGAGTTTCATAGAAAGTAAAAATGCTACGTTACTTTTTCATAATTCATATTAAAAATGTTAAATTAGGCGATGATAACACCGTCGTATCATAAATCATAGAAAAACAACGAATATCGTGGACAAAACAATAACTGTTCACAAAATGGCAGCCGACTTTAGACATTACACGTTTCATATATTGAGTTCAGTGGTGGCAAGAGTTTCAATTGAAAAAATAAAATTTAATTTAATGAAAATCAACGCTCTCATAATCGTTGATTTTATATTGTGTAGATTTTCAAACGCCTTCTCGCTATTTTCACTTTTAAAATAATTGAAATTTTGTAGTGTTTTTGTTGTACTGTAATATTCAAATTTTTATACTTTTCAGTATTTTCTAGAGCTTTATCAACATCGAAACTTAAGTGGTAACATACATATTTATAGAATTTTTAAATTAAGAAAAAATTACTAAAAATTTGAAAACCAGTTTTGCATAATTATTTTCAAAGTTATTTAAGTTTGAAATGTAGGACTAAAGGTGAAGTACGGTTGAATAATGCACGCAGATACAACTCTTATCTTAACACTTGTCTTACATTTTTTACATTTATAACATTAAAATTGTTTACTCAAAACTGTTTATCGAACAGTCGACATGATCAGTAAATTATTCTTAAATTTAAAGTTAAATAAAATATATACGTTACCTATTAAGTTTCAAAAGTAGATAAAACTCTAGAAAATACTAAGAAAGATAAAAATTGGAATATTGTCTATACAAATTGTAATAAAGCATAAACAAATATGTTTTCAAAAAGAAAAACTACAAAATATCAATTACATTAAGAAAAAAGTAGTGTCGGCGTTAAAATAATTACCGATATTATCTAAAAATGTTTTCCTTAAATTTTTGCCCAAAGATCAACATCCAATTTTCAAATACTGTAATAGATATCAATAGGCCTCCCCTTGTTTGTGCAGAATATGATAGAGTATGATTTTAGGTCCAATAGAGATTTTATTATCTAACAAAAATATATTTAAAAAAAAACCGTATAAGTGTTCTGAAGACAAAGAAGAACTCATAACTGCGTTATCATTAAGTGAAGTTTTCGACTTATGAGTCAAACAAACATAAAAACCACTTTTGTATATTAAACTGATCAACACCTGTGGTTTTACACGAGTGTGTAATACATATAAAGGTGTTACCATTGGGTGTCCTTTTCAAAACATTCAAGCTTTGTAATATAATTTAGAAAAAAAAACTTATTGTAGATATTCTTGTATAGAATGTTTTTTTGTAAAATAAAAAAAAAAAACAACAACAATACACTTATCCATTTCTGTATTATTTATTAAAATATATACCTATCATATGTTTTATAATCACATTAATATTATATGAAAATAATCCAAATAATAATAATCCTATTTTAACATATTTAACATAACAAATACATATACTTAATATAACATTTAAAAATTTGGGTGTGTGGTCCCTTTGAAAATCGATAGTTAATAAATTATAATTTCTAGCTTTAAACACTCCCCCCTCCAAAAAAAAAGAAAATGAAGGGAATTGTTTTTACATAATATTAAAGTATAAAGTTTTGTGATTTTAGGTTGACACAGTTTGTGTCCGGTGTAGAATGGTGAACATTGACCAATCGAGCGCGGAAAAAAATCAAAAACCTTTGAGAGTATTGGATCACAACAAGCAAAAGGGCAAAAGCGTTTTTGGCATTTACCTCAAATGCGAAAAGCCCACAGGTAGTGTAGTGCGAGTCGGTCAGTCTGTCGATGTCACGTACGAATGAAATGAATAAAAATTTAATATTGTAACAAACGAGAAAAAAATGTATAAAATTGAAAAAATAAACGGTGTGTACTGTGTTTGCCTATCGTACCTCTCAACTTACAAAATTGGTTTAAAAAAAAAAAAAAAAAAATAGATTTAGTACTTTAAAATACATATTTGACATTCATTTGAAGAGAGATGTGTGTGATATTAATTTTTTTGATGGTTTGGTTTCTGGCACAGTCGATTTACCTGGAACAATGTCCCGGAGATAACCCGATTACAGGAACCGTACTATTTAAAACTTGTAAGAACAAATTATTTAGAGGATGACCCTTTATTAAAACCACTTTATTCTTAAATATTGCCTATAAAAAACTACTTAAGAATGGTCGGTATCCAGGGGCCTTAATTAGGCCCTGACAGGTAATTAAGCCTGTCAAGGAGTAATGAAGCAAATGTATGGCATTTCCAGCATTTATTATAATTGTTAGTAACATTTTTTATTAATAGTAATTAATTTATATTTTTTTATAAGTATATTATGTATGTGTGCTCTATGTTTATTATATTTTCAAAAGCCGAATGGCGTCTGTACCTAAATAAAACGGATATATTAAAATATACATTAAATATTATATTAATATATTAATAACAATATTTTCACACAACAGTCAAGATATACTCATTAGTAATTAGTTAGCCTAGTTTTCTACATCCGAACAAATCAAATTTATGTGATTTGAAATAAATAATGTGTCTGTAAAAATGTTTAGTTGCCTATGCTTTAAAAAAAAACGGCGTTGGTCAGTGGCGAGGCAAATTTTGACAGTTTTCAACATGTTTTTTAAAAATTAAATTACCAAATACTTTTTTATATATTTTAAGTACGATATTTTTATGTCATTTTATGGGTTTTAGCTATAACATCAAATCGTTATAGACAATATAACTTTTAGTATAAAATGCCGCAGTCAAAAAACACCTAATGAAAATAATGACTGCTTTTGGTCTTAAAATTCAGTCTGAAACGGCTCCATCAGGATATAATATCAGCTGTATCTATATAATAATATAGCCATGGATTGTAGGTTAAATTATTTTTATTGGCATTTGCAATATAAATATTTAAATGTAACGACACAAACAATAATTATTTATAAGTTTTTTTTAATAACGGACAGTTAGTCCAATTCAATTTACAATGCGATAATGGTTATTAATTTAAAAGGAAATATTGGATAGTAGGAAAGAGTCGTCAACGTTATTATTAAGAAATTTCAATAGAAATCTCATACAGTGAAAGTTTCTTCTATCTTTTGAATGTTTTAAATTTAAATAATTAAGAATACCTTAAGTGTTGGGGTCTATATAAATTGTATTTAAAATAAATAAAACGAAAAGAACTATTTTAAACGTATTCAATTTTATCACTATGACCGAAAGTGTATGTTTCTCATACAATAACTGAAACATATAGTCTTGCCTTTCTACAACTCCTCTCCATTCCTCTCGTCTTCTAATTTCCTTTTAATATCTATAGATTACAGGCCCATATCTGGGCTATAGAGTTGTTCTAGATGATTACTTTTTTTTTATCCAAGTATAATTCCTTCAAGGACTACCTGTATAGGACTATCATGTCTCAGAGTGTGGCCTAGCTATTGGAACGATTAAATAACCTAAAAACCTAATCGACATAATATCTTAAAATTCAGTTGTATTTTAGTAAATTAGTTACTGAATATATTTTTTTTTATACATCCAAACATATTACGCGCAAGCGACTATTTATATCGTTATCGTTTTTAACAGATTATTATATCATCTATTATTATACAAATAATAATATGTACCTACATACTTACAATATGTAACGAAAAGAATGAAAATTTATCAATTTTACGATGCCTGAATTAAGTAATAAAATAATTTCTAATCAAACGGACATGGTAAACAAATAATATTGTATAAAAAAAAATGTAATTACATCTGAATTAATTGGATGCATATGGTTTATCATAACTTACATATTCTGCATTTATAAAACACATGAAATTGTTTACTTTAGCTTTTGTGATATACATAGGTACTGTTTAAATGTATTGAAGCATAACGCGTTTATAGCTGTTACTAAGTGATTTCTACAATATTTATCGATAATAATATTAAGTCACCTTTGTCGACTTAGTTCTTATTAAGTAACTCCGGTGTTCCATTTATATTACAATATTACTACAATGTACAATTAATGTTACATTTTTTTAGAAAAACAAAAACGATGATTGTTACATCTGAAATAAGGAATTATTTTCCAAACAGTATTTTGTTAGTCTTGTTTGAAACTCAATAAACACTTGCTGCAACAGTACTTATTGGCTTTGCTAAAACACTATTTACTTATCACCAGATAGCATACGCGTTAGCAAACAGCAGATTAGAACAACAAAAATAGGAAGTTGAAAAAAAAAATGTAAGCGCATTGCGAGTTTTGTCGTTTAGTAGAGCATATAATTTTTTTTCAAAAGGTATACCGACTACAAAGTGTTTTTTCTTAAAAAAAAAATAATGAACACGTATACCATTTTTGTATTTTTCATGTTTTATTCGAACGTTTACAGCGTTTCTCCGAAAAACAATGGAAAAATACCCTCGACCGCTAGTTTAGACCGGGAAACGATCAGAGAACTTTTAAAAGACCAAGAGGCTAATTCGGAATGGAGTCATATTTTAAGTAGAAATATTTCATTCAAGAATACATACGAGCCACTGAAGGAGTACATTGATACTAACGGCGATTCTTCCGAAGAAATTCAACACATTAACGTGCTCAACGTGTTGCAGAAATATGCCGAAGACGATGTGATGAATAAGAAAGTAAGTATCGACGTTATACGTGGCTTAGTCGAAGACGCTACCGACTTTGCCGGGTTGATGGATACCAACTTGTATGCAATGTTAATTCTCAATGACTTGCTACTTTACTGCAGCAGCTTTAACGGTGTTATGTGTGAAGAAGAAATCATCGATATTGAAAACAACGTGATACGCTGTACAACGGCTAATGACAATCACCATATGAAATTCAACCTGACCACAAACGAGGGTACAATAAAATTTCGGGTAACGGGCAATTTACTGCGAAACACACGGGAAACGGATTTTACGTGGACGAGTATAATAGGAAAAATGACCAACCTAGATATCTATTACCGTATTCGTCGAGGGGAATTCAACGACATATTCAACACCAGCGGGACGGTCAAACCTTTAGTCATTGATTTATACGAGGTTATGACTATTCTTATTTTTACAATAAGAAGTATTGATAAAAAGTTGCAAGGAGCGTGCGTGGCTCACGAGGGCGATTTTGTGAACAAATACGAATTCCTAGTCGATGAACTCGACAAAGAATTCGACCATTTAAACAAGGACGTGAATACAAACAAAGCAACCATAGCTATTTGGAAATTGGTTAACAGATATCTTTCAGAATCCGAAGACTCGTCGGAGCTAACTAACAGCGATGGTTTAGAAGAAACTGACTATCTTAACGGGATAGCTGAAATCATTCCTAACGCCCCGTTTCTCATACAACAAGTAAAATTTACAAATGAAAACCATACGATTTTATTGGACCTAGCGCATGGCGAAGAAGAAAATAGGTAAATTACCACTGATAGAAAATATAAGTTTAAAAAAAACTAGTACAGTGGAGTCAGGGAATAGTGGGGATGGGATCATTAGGGGTCTACACGAATTTTTATAACCGAAAGTGATAAAACTGCTTTTAAATAAATGCTTACATGCCAATCTGTGAATAGAAGGTGAAATAATAAGTTTATGTTCTTATTGGTACAATAAGAAAGTATTATACATAAGTGAGTAGTAGTAGTAAGTAAGGGAGGTTCAGTGTTTATAGATAAAAATACAAATATCGATAAAATCATTGTAACTAATAACAATTATGTGCTTAAACATTTTTTTAGAATTAGGGTGGATACAATTAGGGTTGATCTCCGTCTATAAAAATGTATTGCCATGTATCGTAATCAATAACATAATGAAATATTTTTCATTACCTGTAGTCTGTTGATTTATTTACACATAGCAAGCTAGAAACTGACTACGGTAAAAGTGTATATTGCCCTTTTTATTTTTAGTTTCCTTAATTAAAAAAAAAAAATTTAATCAAATAACTGTATGTTGTGATATAGTTTTATTCTAGATCTACCTTAGGTCTAATTTATAGAACAGGAAACGGATTTGTGATATTTTTTTGGTTCGTCAATGTTTATAGGTAGTTAGTTTAAAGAATATTCCGTATAAATTAAACTATTTTTAAAAAAAATAATAAAGCGCTGTAACTTTAAGTTATAAAATGTGTGTGAAACTTTTACGCATTTTTCTCGATTTCGAAGGGAAGGGGTGCCCTTTTTGCTCAATAAAGTACAGGTGGACTACGGGAATAGGGCCAGGAATAGGAAGGTTAGATAAGCTCATTCGACCCGTCAAATAATGCCGTTTAGTTATCACTATGGCGCAGTAGAGTGTCGTTCACCGTGTGTTTGCGTACGACGCGTTTGTGAAAAACAATGAATTCAAATGTATTTGATTTAAAATTGGAAATAGAAAATTATTATGTGAACCGTTTTAATCAGAGATGGACAAAATGGATAACATTCCAGTAATCCCAAATTTTTGGATTACGGATTTTTTTTTATTTCAGTAGTCTAACACTAAGGATTATCATTAGTTGTATACCAATAATTAAAAACATTGTTTTTAAATAACAATTATATTTGTTAAATTAAAAATGTATTTGAATTATTGCTTACTTCGATAAGCGATAAGAGATTATAGAATATAGATAAATTATGAGAGATAAGACACAAAATATGAGTGATAAGAGATAACAAATACATGAATAAATGTTTTTCCATATAATTTACAAAACTATTTTCCACTCATTCTCCATCAATTCATATTATAATAATAAAATAACCGTTTAATTATTAAAAAATTCTATAATTAGTAGATTTTTACTACTGCCTACTTACTTTGAAATAGATAGTTTCTGTTGAACAAATAGATGTTGGGTATTAATTTATATTATTTCTCCACAGGACAAATCCAAAAATATAATTTAATATACAGTATCATGATAATTGATAGATACAACTAGATAAAATAAAATGTCTTAACAATTATTGTTGAACATCAATAACTCTTTATTTTCAGACGTTTCACGGATGCCACGATTCGGACATTATCATTTAGCACATCTTGTGAAAATAGTTCGGACGATGAAGTTCTAGACAAACAAGATTCTGATGATTATTGTTTTAAAGGAACGGCCGTTGTTAATGTTACATTGTCTTGAATATTTTTCAAGTTCAATTACTATTTTATGATTATATATAAAAGTGCATTTTATAATAAAGTTACAAAATCAGTTACAATAAAGACACTTCATATAAAAATGTTTACAGTTTAATATGTTTACTTGAAATTATTTATAAACTTCAAATTAAACTCAATTTGGTTTGCATGTGTTGTAACTTTAATACAAATGTAATGAATATAAAATATATTTTATAATGTAATGGATAGTAAAAAAAAATATATATTTACATTATACCTAATAAAATTGTTGTATATAGCTAGGAAAAAAAACTATTTCTGGTGATCAGTGTACACATTATTTACAGATTGGTTTTTAGATGGTAAACTGTCACATAAACCAGATATTGCAGTTTACTTTTTTGGAAACCTATTGCTAAATCGCCATAACCTCAATTTCTGGTGTCCGGTTGAGAATTAAATAAGTAGCTTTTAATTAAAATAACAAGCATCGGGTAACCTAAATAATTCCAAAGTGTTTAAATTAAAGCTTAAACACTAATCATTTGCGTGCAGTTTCAATTTTAAAATTTAATTTCATCAATTCCTTTATTAATCTTTTCCGAAAATTGCGTGACAGCAATGTGTGTTTACTTAAATTATTTTGGTCTATGTGTATGTGTAAATGGTTATAAAATAAAATTCCACGTCGACACATGTTATTTAAAATCAAGTTGTCTATACGAAATTGTCTTTAAAAAATATATCTACAAGTCAGTTATACACAAAATAATGTTGAGTAATCTGCGTAATAAAGTGGTATCTCGGTGCTAATAATATATATTAATTCATTCCGATCATAATCTTTCCCTCCACGCCGTATGCGAAGCCCAAATTGTAGAAGCACCTGCCAAAAAATTCATCGACGTAACAATCAAATTCGTTTTTTACATATTCCACCATAGTCGTTTCCTTCGGTATCAGCTGGTGTTTCTTTTTGTGCTTAAGATCATCATTAAATTTCTTTATTGTCCATTCTGTGTATTGCGGAATGATGCAATGTTTGCGGGTATACACGTATATATTCTTTATATATACTTCCAAGATATATTCACTAATGGTTTTTATTTCGAGATCTACAACGTCCACGTTGATACCTTGTGCCGACAATTTTGCAGACGTTTTCGGCCCTAAATTCAAAGTGTACTCGGTCAATTTTTCCACGGCGATCATTACATTGTATTTAGGTTTCAATTGTGGCCCTATCGAGTAAACAAAGTCCAACGCGTCTTTCATGCATTGAAACCTCGGTGACACGCTGTGGAGTTTGATCAGCAGCGAACGGAAACAATCGTAATAGCTTGAATAATCTTGAACCGAAAGGTCGTATCTGTTTTTTTCGTTTTGGCAAACCCGTGTTAAAATTTTTATGAGAAGCTTGTACTTATAAATAACCTCACTGTACTTACACATGAGCAATGTCATGATCTCCTCGTGCCTTGCCAGGACGTTGGATTCGTCTATAGGTTTCCGGTTCGACGATATCGCTTCGAGTATTGCGGACATGGGATCCGAGACATCTTTGCCATTTTTTATTAAGATTTTCACGTTGTGCATGTCATCTCGCCATCCAACATGCTGCAGCAACATGTTTAACTTGTTAGCTAGTTCCACTTTTAATTCGCTCACATAATCCGACACAACGCGTGTAAAACTAAATACAGCGACCCAAACTAGAATTAACATCAATGTATGCAAAATATGCATTATTTTAGCTAAGAAAATAAAACACAATAGTACTGTTATCGAGAAAACCATCAACTAAATCGCTTAGAGTTCGAGAAATTAGATTAAAATTTGCATTTATTTAGTTCTTTGTTTAAATAAGCTAACACTATTTGCCAACAATATTAGCGTCAAGCTCTTGATTTACATGCACGTGTTACATCGATTATGTTATGTGGAGAGATAGTTTAGTTTACATTTTTCTTAAAATAATTAATTTGATTCCAATTGAATTCGACACAACCCAAAAACGGCATGGCCAACTGGTATAATCCTATCAGGAGGTGATTATGTTGTTACAATGTACCGATAGAAATAAAATAGTAAAACCAATGACCAAAAAGGTCATTGATTATAACAACCCACTGAAATTGATCCTCCAAGGATATATTCTTAGACGTATAAGTAGATACATATAACAAAAGCTAGAAGGAAGGAAGCGTCTACAACATGGCTACATCTACATAAACAATCATTTTTTTATTATTTGCCTTTATATGTTTTAACAAACAAGAATGCAAAGTATCTCATACACGTAAACGAACGACGAACGCGTGAATAGAACGACAATCAGTACTGTAATGAATATCTACAAATGTATTGTTAATATGTAATATTATTATGTATTTATGTATAATGAATATTAATATTTTTTTCAAAATTGTATTACTATGTATTTATTCGTGGGATTTCCTCAATATAATATGATGTGCATATTGATATTTCCACGTTACAGTCTGATAGAATATGTTCGCTTTTAAGATGTTACTAAAAGAATTATTTTTAAAATTAAATGCTCATACATATTTATTTACGTTTTTAAAGACTTAAGTCCTAGACGATGCTCTTTTGAAGATTAGCAGCTTACAATTCCAGAACGAAAAACATCAATTCAGTTTTTTTTTTAATGTTAAAGACATGCATTAATCAAAATTAAAAAAACATTTAAAAAAATTCGGTTTAAAAGAAAACGTATTTTACCCAACTTGTAACAAATAAATAGCATAACGTCATGTTAAAAATAACTCGACAAATTAAATAATGAGAAAAAATGTATTTTATATTAAACATACAATATTGCTTTAATCTATTTATTAGTGTTATAGAACTTATTCTGTTTTCGTGTGATCAATAATAGCTAGTATAATAAAACTATAATTATATATATAATAGCTAATAGCTAAGTATAGTAAAACTCCAATGCATATTGTTTTATCTTCATGAAAATATGATGTTGCAACCTATAGTATTAATAGTATAATTTTTCTTAAAATGCTCTTCGCATATTTGTGATTTTAATTTTGTTCGGATAATTTCTTCTTTAATAGTACGGATATAATAGAATACGCCATATGTAACACCTAAAAACAAATAATCATTTATGTAAATTGTGAAATATACACTTTATAAGGTAAAATAATATGATTGTTGATTAATGAAGAAAACTCTGTCGTAGAGAATAAGAACAGTGCCATTTGCATCTAACGAAATTAACTAATACTCAAATCAAACTAATATTTTAAATGCTAAATAAAAATAGTACTATTTACATTTTAAATTTTGGTAAAACACAATAAAAGTTTTATCTCTTTTTAGTAATTTGTTGTTTTTAATTAGCGATTATGTTGTAATTAAGCTGTCATGATTAAATAAAAAATAACAAAAAAAAGTTCCCGTTGAGATCACATAATGGTGAAAGAGCTCAGTTTTTGTGCTGTTTTGGTTGGGTTTATTCGCAATGCATAAAATACATAATACAAATACATACACTTGTAAAAATCTTTAAATCAACGTTCTTCATCGGTGTTATCATAATCGTTTTCATATTAACACTGTTCATAGTCATTGACAACAACACCAGCTTTTGGAAAGACAAATCTTGATCTAACCAATTACAACTGTACAATGAGAAATTCATCGAGTTTACCTGTAACCAAATAAGGTATTTTATTTTGTATTATAATTTAAATAGTTAAAATACGCTTGACAGTTGTATTTTTAAACATCGCGATGAAATAATAGGCAGAAACAATAGTTATAAAAATTAAAATATGTTATTATATTTATCTTAGACCATTTTTTTTATAGATTACAACGATTTGATAGAATTGCATGCATATATAATATGTAAATTTGTCTGTTTATCGTGTTTACAACGAGCTGCCCATTTCGTTTTCGCCACAATTTGAGCATTGTACTTCTTTTAGTCACAGTGTACAAAATTATACATATATTATGCATATAGACAAAAAGTGTAAGATAAATACAAAATATTTCCGCCAATACCTCATTGTCTACAAGTCCGCAAATTTTAGTTAAGAGGAACAACCGCAGCACGCTGAACATCGCAGTACTTAAATATTTCATCGAAGTTGCAGACATAATCGGCATCCCGTTAAAATAACTCTATAATAATAATAATATATATATATATATATATTCAATATCAAAATGCTTACTCAAAGATAAAAGTTATTACTACAGTATTACCGCTATATAGGCATAGGTCGCACAAACTAGTATACAAGCAGCAATTCCAATCTGCGCTACTATTATTGGTCGGATAGTATAAAAAAAGTCTTTCATTACTCTACAAAAACATCCGGGCAAATATAAAACAAATTAAATTTGAAACTGCGCAATGCAATTTATAAAGAAATATGTATATATTATATTTTTATGAATACATTTTATAATAAATTAACTTACGATATCACTTTCGTGTGATCCGAAATAATCGTTTTGAATTTTTCTATTAACGTTACTGATTCGTCTGATAAATACAAGTAGACAAATAGTTTTAATTTAGGCATAAAACAAATATATCTGAGTACACTGTACACGTAGACAGTTAGGTGTACTTGATTACATACTTTCGATTTTTTCGTATCCCAACGAGCTGTACGCCGAAGCGATTGTTTTCAGGTGTGCTATAATCGACCAACAGAAAATAATCAGCACCGAATCGAAAATTATAAATCCAATTACAGATTGCGTAAATATAACGGCTTCGATAATGTAAATGATTGGAAACAGCTTGTTATACAGGTCGATTTTGAACGGGTAAGGCAGAACGTTGATGACGCTGTTTCGGTATGTGACCAAGTCGCCGTCTGCATTTTTCACTGTAAAATCAGTTATGAACACCGGGTTGCCCAACCAAATAATAAGTATCAAACAAAATGCTATTGAGTATATGTTTGTAATCATCACGGTCTTTCTTTTATAATCATTCACTATGTCCGTTTTGGAATAGTTGTAAGACAAGAAATCGTCCCGCATTATTTCAAAACATTTCCAAATAACGTCGGATTTCTGACCGACCCGAATGGCGTTCAGCAAAGTGTTAATGGCCCCTACTAATAGCATACAACAGTTTAGCCTCTGGTTGAAGTCGTTTGTCCAAGCAATGAAACCGATCACACAGAAAATCACAATTATCACGTGCAACGGCGTGACTAAAATGTGAGCCAATTGATAAATATTGCATCCCCATAACGTAGTTGAGCCCTCAGATTTAACTGGATTCAACACTTGATAGAGACCGGTCATTTTTAGCAACCTAACGTTAGTGATAAACGATTTGTCGTCATTTTTGTGGTTTGCCATTTCTCGGTGTTTTTTTTTATCTAAAACAAAAAAAAAAAAACAAATCATATTCGGTTATAGAGTTCATATATATATTAATATTAATATGTTATTTCAATTAAATCGATTCCATTTAGTTGCTATTGGTAAAAACTATTAATTGAATTTTACTCAACTCTATATTATAATATACAATATAGAAAATATAACAGAAAAAAAATCAAAATTCTAATATCATCATACTCGTATTTTATACTTAAAATATACTTATGTTAATTAAAATGCAATATGTTTGACAAACACTGCTTGGGCGAGTAAGGAAATGTACAAAATATATTTAATGTAAATACATAGTACTAGGTAAATCGTTGGACTAGAAACGAACAAAAACCAAAAATAATAGTAGACCTAGATTTTATAGTTTAACTAAGGTAGTAATTGTTTTATTATTTTGTTAGAATTTTAAACAGGTTTTTTTAATTTTTTTTATTGATTGCTTTTGTATTACACTTTATAGCAAAAAAAAAAAAAGTAGAAGGTTAATGTAATATTACTGTGCTACATTCACTACTCACAATTCATTTCCTAAGAATAACCGCACCTTACGGGTTGAACTTTTCGGCCAAATAAGAAAATTAAGGAAATCATATAAAGAACAAATAATTATGGGGCCTACGTGTGATCAGATCTTACAGAAAAAACTCTCACGCCAAAAAGTAAAGCTACAACAGAGTAATCTGATTACAATAATTTTTTTCTGTGAAAATAAGAACATTTGCTTATGTGGGTGTGTGGACTAAGATTTTAAAAATTTGATTTCTAAGCCCAATATAAGAGTTTAAATATAACGAATAAGTAATTTAAACAATGTTCAAAATAAATTGACATAATGGTGATTCAACAGTTTTCCAAAGTATGCGACAAAACAACAGAAATTAATCCTAGCACCTTATAGAACCATTTGTAAACAATTAAGTAATAACATTTGTCGTGAGCTTTTTCAAAAGTGTAATTATACAAATGTATTGAACTTATTCGTCATTTTAGACTACGATCTTTTTGCATTATAGATTAAATGTAATCAGAAAATAGATTGTACCTATAGTACAAAATAATAATAATTGTCTTCAAGAGTAATATGACTTTTTCAGATTCATAGACCGTTTGGTAAAATTATCGATACAGTGGTTAAAATAATTACTAACATAAATAACATAACCTTTTTTTTATACCAATATTAGGTCTATACCAAATCTAGTAAATAATTTTCTTATTAATAGTAGTTGGCAATATAATTTTTAAAATCAACTTTAGATGAACAATTATTATAATTTTGGCTTATATTACCCGAATTATTATTTTACGTGTTTGTCGGTTTACAGTTCAATTGATATCCTTCTGATGATCTTGTATTACTTCTGTACTTCCGTTCAAAACATAACAACATTAAATTATAAAATGTACGTATTACTTTTGCTGTGACGTCGTAAGTTCTTGTTTAAACTGCTAAGGGGCTTCTGACAAAGGAATGATGTTACCACATTTGAAAACCATCGCTCAACAATGTCCTTACGTCTTATACAAATTTAGGACACCCGTCTAAGCTTAATTACACGGTTTACAGTATTCAAGATATCGTGTGTGTCATTCTAATAACCACATGTATTTAAATAAAACATATCATTATGGTCTTTGGCGATAAATTTACACGGGTGTGTTTCTAAGAACATACCACAAACCCTTGTTTTACTATGTTGAATTTGAGTGAAACAACTCACACTATTTCTAAGAAGAAAGTAATTACATAGCAATATATATTTATGTCTTATACAAATTTAGGACAACTGTATATGATTAATTACAGGTTAACGGTATTTAAGATATTATGTGCGTCACTCTGTTAACCACATTTGTAAAAAAGACATATAATTAAGTTCTTTTTCGATTGATTTTACATACCCACGGTACGTTTACTAAGAACACCAAAACAACCCCTTATTTTACTATTAAAAACTGTTTGTATATTCGATTGTGTGACACAATTCACACAAGCGTTTACAAACAAAACAAATCAATCGCAATGTATGTCTTTTATCCGCTTTTAGGTCGGCATAACCTACACCATTGCCATCACTGTTGAGAACAGTCTTGTTAAAACTAATCTTCTACATACACCGCTATAACACGTTGTATAGCCATACACGAGCGGAATTTTTGATGGATTGAATCTTCGAGTCCGTTGAGGATTTGGTCAATGGGACCTTGACCATTATTTCTCGACTTATGTAAAAATAAAAATTCCACAGCTAAAAAAGGGAAGTGTTTAAATTTTTTTCAGATATTACATTAAATTTCTGAAAAATAATATTAAAGAACACTGTATGCTTTAGAATATTACATTTCATACATTTTTATATAAATAGAATATATACGTACATTTTAATGGAGATAAACGGTTGTTAATAATCTATAGATCATTTAATTAATTTGTAAAATTGCTAAATATAATTAGTGTAATGAAATATTTGTTTATATATTTTTTAACTATTCCATTTTACTTTGATGGATACAAATTAATCCTATCCTTTTACCTTATAGCCTTATTTTACGTTATTAACTTAAGAAGTTTATATTCAAACCAAATATTAAATCTATAGACCAATTATGACTTTATAATTTACCTAAAAAAAATTACTACAATTCAACTTTAATATCATAAGCAATTTTATAAACAAAAAGTTGTACACACTTTAAACTAGGTCACAAATATAAATTTGTGCAAATTTTAATTTTCTTGCAGGTCTCGTACCATACACTGCGTACATATTTTGAATAACAATGTTTTTAATATATTTTTTTTTTTAAATTGCAAGCCAAAAACATTTTTTAAAAATGTAAATTTGTTTCAGATATTACAATAAATTGCTCAAAATAATATTGAGAAATGCACTATTCACAATAATATTATATTAGACACATTTTTCTATTAAAATACACATAGATACATTTGAATAGGATTAAACGGTTGTTAATAATCAATAGATTATGTATTTAATTTGTTAACTACCAAAGATTTAATAAATATATTACACGTAATGAAATATTTGTTTATATATTTTTCAATTTTGCCATTATACTTTGATGGATACAAATTAGTCCTTTCCTTTTACCTCATCACTTAATATTATGTTAATAACTTAAAAAGCTTATAATCAAATCTAATATGAAATCAATAGGTTTATTATGTCTTACAATTTATCTGATAAATCTACTATTTTTTAACTTGAATATCGAAAGCAATTTTATAAAATAAAAACAGTATGGATAGTTGCGGAAATCGGTTATTTTTTATTTAAGCAATTAGGTTTTAGATTAGTACTCGTGTATGCCTATTAATTGGCACAACATAATGGTTGTCCTGCTATTATTTAATATTAAGACCTATTTAATATCCAACTAATTATTGATTCAGGAAGACGAGCGTTAGATGTCACCCCAATAATAATGAAATAATGTACCTATTATTTTCGATTGACCATTTCATACTTATTGTAGATTGTTAATTGTCAATAGCTTTGTAGTTACTAATACATAGTTACATACTTAATGCAGAACTGTCCTCTTGACCGTTTTGTGTCCAATTTCCACTAGTAGCCATCAGCTGTGCTTGGATGCCACAAAATCTAGCGGTACAAAATTTGTACTAGCTATTAGTTATTATTATTCAACTAAATTAAAAACTAAAATAATATTTATTTATAGCGTTTTGATGACACTTAGAGTTGTAAATGAACCTCTATGTTAAAATATGTAATTGTTTAAATATTTTAGCCTATATTGCATAATAATTGGAATTTACTTACTTAATATGGAATATTAAGTAACTTGCATAAAGTAGACAACAAACTTACTCATACGATAGCTTGTGTGACAATGAAGAAACGGTATCACATTTTTGCAAACAATATAGTAAACGTAATACATTAAATTATTTACCGTGTCCTATATACCATTTATACTCCACCTATCTCTTACATTTTTTATGGTATTGGAATAATATAGGTTCATAGTGCAACACCAGTATCGCAAAATAAACGCTATAGTAATAGTAATTAAATTTGCTTTGAGCAGCAAACCCTATAATCATGCAAGACGGTCGTAAAATATATTTTTTTTTCTATTTTGCCAAAGTGAAGAAACCTCTTTAGGTATATTGATTTAATTACACCTAGCTTTTACTTAATAATGAACATTTTGTTTTTCATTAGTCTCAATGCTTATTTAACTATACCCAGCTTGTACTTGATCATTAAGTTGACTGTACATTTATTTTATAGAAATCTGAATATTTCCGACATTTTTAAAAAAAAAAATTTTAATTAGTCCTGGTACTATTGAGGTACTGTTTTAGCACTACTTAAAAATGTATCTCAAGGAGTACTAGTAATATTATAGACTTTTACATGTTTAAATACAACTTTTCATAAAATGTTCAATTTTCTACAAATAAGAATTGTAACGAATCTATCAACTTTTTTTATTGATTTTAGGATAAGTATACCAAATATCTTATTATTAATAGACCTAGAGTACAACATAAGTTAATGCCACAAAAGTAAACTTCAAATGTTTAGAGAAATGACAATTTATGTATAATAATTTTACAATATTCAAGCAGGGTGCCCATACATATTTAATGGCACCTGGGGCCGTCGGCCTTGAATTCGAGGCACTGAAGGTCCGCTTCATGGCGTAGTCCATAATAAATAATGTAAATTCAACGTTCTAAAAAATTGTTTAAATTAATAATTACTAGTATGTATGCTGGTAGATTTTTTTATTGGTCGGCCTACTGACCGAAAATTTCCCATCTCTTCTAGGGGACAGAATTTATGTAGTTTGTTTTAGATTGTCATCGTTTATCTATATTACCTTTTAGTGTACACAAAGAATTTTCCATACAATTTGACAACTCTTAAAAAAAATTGAACAAAACATAATGTGTAATTTAGTTAGTGATTTTTTCTCGGTTTTGAAGGAGTAGGGATGAATTTTGTTTGGCTTAATTTAGTGAAATTTCTGATCTATAGACTTGCTACACGAAGAAATCAGTTCAACCGTTTAGAAGATGTCGTGGTCCAGACATACAAAACATATCGAAACACATCGTGGTAAAACCAACACGTTTTTAATTCCGCATTGAAACTTATAATAAACTACACCATTATTTGCTCGACTAAATCAAAGCCAATGACTTTTTGATTAAAGTTAATAATTGACTCAATTTATAAATTATCTTTTTTTATTCGAGTTTGGGCAATACATCAAATCTTATGGACAATCATTTTACCATCAAACGCCGTAATTAAAAAAAAAAAAAACGACGATATTGGTTAACAACAATCGCGATAACGACAATCGATGTCCACCATTGACGCAAATGGTGGAAGGGTGGCTGAAAGGGACTTAGGCCCCTCCCCAGATCAAATTCTCACTAAGGAAGTATTTTGATCTTCCCACGTGCTTAGTCAATACTGTGGGAGTCTTAAGTACCCCTTAAGACATTTGGGCTCTTGGAGCCCTTGAATGTAAATATATTACAATTTAACAATGTTAAAAATATTCGCAACATTTAAATTTACACAATAGGCATGAGACTAACAGATGAAGCATATAGTCTATGAGTACCTAAGCACTTGAAAATTTAATAAATTTACTCCTTCCCCTTTAAAACCGAGAAAATCTCCAATAAATTTACATATTTATCAACTTAAATTTAAAGAGCCGCATTTCAAAACGTGTTATTGTCATTTTTTAAGAAAACGAGTTGTACAGTATTTAGGTTTACTGTAAATGTCATCAGACATTAGATTTTTTTAATTTTATAACTCAAAACTAAAGATTTGTGGCAACAACTTAACTTAAAAAAAATGACATACATAATAATATTTTGTTCCAAAAATTAGTATTTTATTCAAAAGATTTAAAAAATATTTCTTAAAAGATTGGTTTTAATTTCTTTTTACTTTTTATCAATTATCATTACTTAAGCGATTTTCCCTTGTAAATTATTTAAACTGGCCTAGATATCTAGGTCTACTTGCTAATATCAGTAGGTAGGTATATATATTTTTTATTACATGCGTCGGTTCTCGTTGGCTAACCGCCGCAGCAACAGCCGTGCTGTTGCAACTGCAGCCACGGACAGGCGCAGCCGCCGCCTCAACAGCAACAGCCGTCAATGGTCATGCGTCGGCACTCGGCGCAAGAGAACCATCATTACAACGGCCGACGGTGCAGCAGCAGCAACAGCGGCGCGGCGGTGGCGACTTTTTGATGCGCAAGGATTCGACGTCGGACTTTTGTTGCGGATCGCCCGGCGGCGGATTCCACCAGAATTGGTCGCGCAAGAGCAGCTCGTCGTCCATGGCCAAGTATGCCGTTTTTTTTTTTAATTTTGGGTATACTTTCTGGGGGCAGGGTTTTTGACTAACTATGTAAAAATGCAAAATAAAATACACTCCTAGAGTAGTTGAGTGTTTTTTTTTTTGCAGTTCCTGTAGAATTTAAATTGAAATAAACATAACAAATATTATATAAAATATACGTTCACTTGTATGCACACAATAGTATACTTTAAGATTACCAATATTACGTTAAACAATTTTTATTAGAAACAAAGACGGCCATTTCGATTGTGATTTCTGTTTAAAATCGTTTACATACAAGTTAAAACTGGAAGAACACGAGTGCGTGCATACCGGTGAAAAACCATTGAAATGCACCTTCTGTGAAAAATCTTTTCGAACCAACAGACGCATCATGGCGCATATGCGCGTGCATACCGGCGAAAAACCATTCAAGTGCTGGGTCTGCGGATTATCGTTTGGCCGTGTGTCGAGCCTCAAGAAACACAAGTTCGCGCACACCGACAAGAGACCATTTAAATGTAGGGAATCTGTGAAAAATCTTTTGAAAAAAGACATTACCTCGCGGCGCATAATCGGGTTCACAGCGGTGAGAAACCGTATAAATGCTCGGTCTGCGAAAAAGCGTATCGCGTTAAAAAGTACCTCAAAAACCACGAGCGCGTACATACCGTCGAGAAATAGTACGAATCAAGCCTAACCTAATCTAATGTTTGCTGCTGTAACTGTATTGTTTTTGCTTTAATTTGTATTTATCTTTAAACCAACATTTATTTTTTTGTGTATATGTCTAATAACAGTAACTATACAGCGTGATTCAATGAATATAAATCAATCAAAATCTTAGAAGATATTTAATTTCGTTAAATTATTCTTTTTCATACTTTTATACTTAATGATTCGGCCAATTTAATTAATGTATTTCCTTAAAATTTAACACTATCTATAATATGTGTAAAAACCTTATGAAATTAATGTTTTTAAACGGGAACGTACCTATATATTTTATTGACTTTTCAAGTTTAAAGTAATTTGCACAAGTCTTTTTCAAAATATTTCTGGTTTATGCTTTTATAACTATAATGATTCGCCCATTCCAATTTATTTTTGATTCAACTCTGTTCTCTATATGTGTTAAAATATTATCACCTTTATGTTATTAAACGAGAACGTATATATTTTATTAAGTATTTGTAAGTTTAAAATAATTTTCTAAAAATGTTGAGTGGCCAACGATTACCACTTATGGAAATTAACCTTTAAAGTTGTTGAAAATTAAAATTTAGAAAGGGAGGACGAGTGCAGTGAAGTATTTGTTTTATATTTTTGCATCACTCTACCATCTCACTCCACCTCCCGTCTTAAATTTTAAATGTAACTGTCCAAAAATGGTTATCGACCAGTCAAATGGTTAAGAAAAATATTCTTACTTTAAAAAGTTGAGAGCATATTTATGGTCATATGGTTATACATAAGACATGAAGTTATATAGATAAGAAATATATCAAAAGAATATTTTTAAATAACTTATCTGTAATGTAACAATTCGTGTTACTCTATTTAAGGTTTTTTTGTTAATGAAAGTTGTATACATAAAAAAACGTAGGCAGCGGGTTGCTAAATAATTATTTTAGTTCCTATTATTTATAATATAAATTACATGAACTTTTTTTACTTTGTTTCAAGTTACTGTTAAGGTTTATATTGATTAAGTTTAAGTTGATCAATATACGAATAAGAAAAAATTGTCAATTTGTTTTGAAAATTTATTTTGTTTGATATAGTTATTGGTGGAAATATTAAAACCATTCTAACTAATGAACATTAATCACATATCGGTTGAGTTTTAATAACGTTGACGCCTTTGTTCTCCCGGTCAGTAGGTCGATCAATAATAAAATCTACAAGCATACATACGAGTAATTATTAATGAAAACAATTTTCTTGGAACGTTGAATTTACATTATTTATTATGGGCTATGTCATAATGCAGAAACCCAGTGCCTCAAATTCAAGGCCGAGGGTCCCGGTGCTATCAAATATTTATGGACACCCTGCTTGAATATTGTAAAAAGAAATACACATAAGCTGTTACAATATTATATTTAAACACTTCATAGTTTTTATTAATACTGACTTATGTTGTACTCGGATATCTAGGTCTATTAAACATTAGATATTTGGTCACTCAGTTTCTATCCTAAAATCTTTAAAAATATTGATAAATTTATTATATCTAATTCATAGTCATTTAGATTTAATATATCCTATTTAAAATACAAATCACGAGCAATTGAATCAATTCCTGACACATTCATGATGATATTTATTACAAAATTACTTTATAAACAGATTTTCGTGGGTCCTTATAACTTTTTTGCAAGTTTTTCAAATAACTTGGAGTATGTAATCATCTGATGTGGCAGCGTTGGTTATTTATGGTCTGTTAAGTTTGCATGGTGATGTATTAGTCCACATCATAACGTTGCATAGTTGTTAAGACTATTACAAAATTCATCAAAATCAATTACAACCATTAATTAATTTAGAGGTGAATTACAATTTATTAAGTTTTAACGTTTTCTATTTATTTATATTAAACAACAATCTTTTTAAACTATTGTATACATTTATATCAAACAATTAAATTACAATCCAAACAAGAACAAATACAAATGATTAACAAGAATGTATGAACTTTTCTTTTTGTTATTTTACTTATATCGACGATTGTTTGTTTTTTTTTATCATCACTGACAATACTGAATAACACATATTTATCACCTGCAACATACATTTTATTGCATGGTATGTACATGAAAAATTATTAATTAAAGTACATAATACATAAGATAACCGAAGCGAATTTTCATCTATTCTATACAGGGTTTTCCACAATGTTTCGAAAAATAAAACAACTTTTGTTCTAGTGAATATTTTAAAATAAATTTTAAGAAATTAATTTATACTCAGTTGTGCTAAGAGCACCATATTTATTACTGCACTTAACTATTTTACTTGATTAAATAACTTGATGGGAGGTGGAGTGTGGTAGGGTAAGCGCATAGAGCTATTTTTATCTGAACGCATTACTCTACCGCACTCCAACTCCCATCCTACCCATTCACCTTTAGTAACTCACCAATAAGTAAATATCGAAATCTGGTTATCGACCAGTCAAGATGTTCAGCAAAATATTCTTAATAAAATGGCTATCTTGAATTTAAAAAAACAACAAAAAATATATTAAAAAGTAAAATAATAAAGTGTAATAAAAAACATGGTGTTTATAGTGCAAATGAGTAAGAATTATTTTAAAACATTTTTTTTGTTGAAATATTCACTAGAACAAAAGTTATTTAATTTGTCGAATCGTCGTGGAACACTCTGCAATAAATAATTAAATAAAAATCAATAAAGTCTAAAGCATTGTACATTATTAAGTATGTTTGTTTAGGTTAATTGACACATTGTAGTTGGAACCACAGCCAAAAACCAACATAATAGTAATTTATTCGATAAGTAGATAATGAAGGTCATGGTTTTAAATAGGTCATATTATACAAACGCTTGCAAAAACTTCCATGTTTACTATCTTCATGGGCGTCACTTTCATTTTTAGTTGGTGAGCATTATTCATTGTCATTGTTAATAGAATTAATCGTTTTACTTCGACACGAGAATCCGTCCAGTTACTACTGTACAGCGCAAAGTTTATAGCGTCTCTCTAAAAATAAAAAATTATAGAACATACAATATTAGAGTAAACACGGACTCGATTCAAAGAGAGGAGGACATTACATAATTGTTAATGTTCCCAAATAAGTAGCACGGCAAAAAAAGTTGAAATAAAAACAAAGGAATGGCGCTAAATATCTTAATCGACTGCAAAAATCCTGCTGGTTCAATATCGCTTGCAATCTGAAAAATAACATAATGATTACAATATCACCATTGATTATTCTCTACAACACACAAATCTTACCACCGTTACAATGAATGTAAAAAACACCAAAGTAGTTGAAGCGAAAACTATTTGAGTAAGCACAATTGGTCGTACCATTTCATAAAAACTATTCATTTCTCTATAGAAAAATACAAACGATGCTAAATTAAAAAAAATTAAAATAATTATAATTTGATTTCAACCTTTCATCGTTATGACCTACGTTTATAGCAGGCTGGCATATAACATTTTACATTTAGATGTAGATTACATTTAGGTACACATCAAATTGTGTTTCTTCCACTTACTAATACAGATTGAATATATTTCTTAAACAAAAAAAAAACAATACAATGTATACTTACATTAAAATTCTCGCTTGATCAGATATAATAGATTGGAAGTCTTGTATCACACTATCAGATGAGGAATTAGATTTTCCATCGTCTATATCAAATAAACAAAAAATAATGAATTAAACAATGTTGAAAGAACTAATATATATATATATATATATATTAGTGTATAGTAATACAACAATTATTATTTATGTTTGACTTCTATATATATATATATATATATGGTATACGAGTTATTGCGAGTGGAAGTTTGGTATTGAAATAATAAACACAACATAAATAAATTAAGTGATTAACACAATACTATTGAGAAACACATATACTAATTAAAATAATAGACTATATCATTGCATAAACAGTATGACAATGACATTTGTATATCTGGAGAGAACTAAAGAGATAGAATTAGCCCCGAAGCCCCAAAACCAACATCAATACTTATGTGTAATTTTTTAATATTGGGTTTTGAGTGCTAACCATTGTCCGAACGCTATACATTCATATATTTTATCCTACGTGAATGTTTATTACATTATTAGTATTTTAATAAAATAATACACTTACTTCCATACGTGTCTTCGTTCAGTTTAAGCTTTTTGTAAACTAATACAATTTTATTTAGTTGGCCTATCAGTGCCATGCACATTGAAATTAATAAGACGTCAAAAATTGTTGTAGAAAATACATACACCCAACCCAGGATATTTTCGATCGTATAAAATATAGCAAAATAATTATTATAAGCATTACTGGATACCGGAAAAAATAAGTTGAATGCGTTGTAACGGTAACTGTTGTATGTACCGTCGTTGATTTGCAATTTTAAATCATTTGTTATTCCACTAAATATCAACGGACTAATTAACCAACAGAAATTAGCCAGCAAAGTAATAATGCAATATATCTTGGTTGCTCTTAGCGACAACTTCTGGTAACAACTCAAACGGTCTGCGATGCTGTTGGATTTGTACTTTGTAAAATTAAATTCGCCTACTTTGATGACGTTTTTGATGGTTTTCGGATTTTTCATTATAGTGTAACCTTTGTAAATCGCCAATGGCATATTTGTTAGAACGACGATTTGAGTAAGCGTATGATTTATATTATTTTGCCAGTAGTAAAGTCCGTACGAGTTAATCAGTAAGATTGATGACGAAAACACCATACTGATTATCACTATAGTTTTCACTACTCCATAACCGTAAATCTTGCTACATTTTTTGCTCAAAATTTGATTTAAACCAAATAGGTTTAAGAGTTTCATGTTGATGATATTATTGTGTGCGTTGGTTTCTTTCATATTGGCCTTTGGAGTTCACCGTTTCTAAAAAGTTATAATACTTATATCCTGATATAATTTTAACATTGAAATGCAAATCGTTTATTACAATTATTATTAATTAGTATTTTCCTTGTATTTATAATAAAAAAATGTGACTATAAAAATTTAATGCCGATTCCATGCCTGTCCATTTGTTGCCGCTATTGCCGCATTTTTACCGCAAATTCGATATTTTATTGATTTATTTGCCAGTGATCAGGAGACCATAATTTTTACCACACAACATCATAACACGCGTCTTTGAATTTCGAATATTGATCATATGGGTAGTTTAAGAGAGAGGAGCAACTAACCTTTATTTTATTCGTCCTGTTCGGTTTTTTTGAATTTTAATTGGTTTTGATAGTATTGCACGAATGTCATCAGCAAATTTGATAGTGTATACTTAAGTCCGGTTTGTTACCGTTGAGAGTTTATTTATTTTTATTTATACGGCGTTTTGTCTCTGATCATTCAGATTGACTGTTATATTATTATTTTGGCAAATATTTTCTCGGCTAAACCCCGGTGACATATTTTTTACACGGCACTGTCTCTGACGATCTCAGATTGACCTATTTTACTTATCGTGTCAAGAGTTGACGCACACTATGCGGCATATTAATTTGTTCGGCTTTATAAAATAATTTTGGACTAGATAATGAAATAATGACTGATATTCTGACACGGCGCGGCGTTTCGTTTTAGATTAATTGTTTTTGACTATACTCGCATATAATTTAAACGAATTTATTTTATTGACACGAATTTTGCATATGCAACCAATATTTTTCAATTTTTTTTTTTTTTTACGGCGATTTTATTTTTATATGCATAATTTTGCGCATACGGATTTACGTAACTATACGAAATTATTATTTTGAAATATTTTCGTAAATTTGTTTTCATTTTAATTTATTTACTTATGAGAGCACTTATAATTTGAAAAGGTACTTACCTACGTAAAATGACATCCGAGTTGATTGTAGTATCAAACACAAAATGACTGACTACTCCGCATAGTTAATTCTATCCTTAGTTGAATGTCAATTTTCCAAGGCAGTGTGTATTTAGGGGCTATATAAAATTATTTATGTACTAATTATACTGTATATCATTAAGTATGTATTTGTATGTATTATTAAGTCGAGTTTTGTATTAAGTTTTAGGCGCAGCGTTACGGTGGTCAACTTTTAAAACTTTCTTTTTAAGGACAACCTGTGTAATAATTACATATTTACATATTTTTTTTATATTCATATATATATAAATATATATTGACCGATTTTTCAAGTTAAGATAAATAATTTCTTAGACAATGTAATTTTTTTTTGTACTGCATGTATAATGTTTGTATACATTTTAGTAAAAAAAAACCCGCGTAACGATTTGGGGACGGATATAATTACTTAATTTAATTTAAATTATTGTTAACGTTCGTCTTTGGAAAACTATCTGACAGTTAAATCAAAATACATCTAATCAGTTATCTATCAGTTGTGATAATTCTGACCTATTACTGTGACCTTCCCTGACCATATACGCTCCGTCCCACTGTAATATATACAGTGTATTCCACAATGACTCGACAAATGAAATAACTTTTGTTCTAGTGAATATTTTTAGAGATGAATTTATTCTCATTTGCGCTATAAGCACCACGTTTTTTTAACAAACCTAACTATTTTACTTTTTAAAATTTTTTTTTTTGCTACATTTTTTAAAAAAAAATTCATGATAGCCATTTTATTAAGAATAATTTGCTGAAAATTTTGATTGGTCGATAAACTATCGCGTTAATTGTTATAATGCTAATGGATGTTTTGTACCTGACGCAACGGCCTTTCCTTCCATAGTCAGTTTGTTCCACCCATTAAAACCGTTTCAAGAAATATTTTATAAAACTATATAGTGATTTGAATTATGTTAGAACGGTCGTGTTGGAGAGGAATAATACCACTCTATTTTTATTTAACTATACCTAGCTTAATAGCTTAAGTTAATAACAGTAAATTAACTTTATTGGAGTCTGAAAATTTCCAACATTTACTTTGATTTGTTTTTTAACTAGGCCTGCTAAAATTGAGATTTAGCTCACTACACGGCCCAGGTTGGCCGACTAGACACCACGGCGTGGTTTGTTCCATGTTTTTTTATTTAGTTTTATATACCTGTCATGTCTAGAGCTACAGTCCATGGTGACAGAGGGAAAAATAATACAACGGAAGGAACGATTAAAAATAAAATATTCCACTAAATATCAACGGACTAATTAACCAACAGAAATTAGCCAGCAAAGTAATAATGCAATATATCTTGGTTGCTCTTAGCGACAACTTCTGGTAACAACTCAAACGGTCAGCGATACTGTTTGATTTGTACTTGGTAAAATTAAATTCGCCTACTTTGATGACGTTTTTGATGGTTTTTGGATTTTTCATTATAGTGTAACCTTTGTAAATCGCCAATGGCATATTTGTTAGAACGACGATTTGAGTAAGCGTATGATTTATATTGTTTTGCCAGTAGTAAAGTCCGTACGAGTTAATCAATAAGTTTGATGACGAAAACACCATGCTGATTATCACTATAGTTTTCACTACTCCATAACCGTAAATCTTGCTACATTTTTTGCTCAAAATTTGATTTAAACCAAATAGGTTTAAGAGTTTCATGTTGATGATATTATTGTGTCCGTTGGTTTCCTTCATATTGGCCTTTGGAGTTCACCGTTTCTAAAAAGTTATAATACGTATATTCTGGTATCATTTTAACATTGAAATGCAAATCGTTTATAATAATTATTGTTAATTAGTCTGCACATGGGGGGTTTCCTTAGTTTAATAATAAAAAAAATGTGACTGTGTGTGTGAATTAGTTCTAAAAATATTTGAAATGATGAAAAGTGTTCAACCCTTCTTGAAGGAATCGTTCTGATATTTTTCTGAGTAGTCAATGTGCATCGTTAGGAATATATTTAAGAAACATTTTGTTTTTTTTTGTTTAAATTGGTCTCAGTGCTTATTAACTATACCCAGATTGTACTTGATCATTGAGTTGACTGTAAATTTATTTTATAGAAATCTGAATATTTCCGACATTTTTAAAAAAAAAATGTTTTAATTAGTCCTGGTACTATTGAGGTACTGTTTTAGCACTACTTAAAAATGTATCTCAAGGAATACTAGTAATATTATAGACTTTTACATGTTTCAATACAACTTTTCATAAAATGTTCAATTTTCTACAAATAGTAAGAATCTATTAACTTTTTTATTGATTTTAGGATAAGTATACCAAATATCTTATTATTAATAGACCTAGAGTACAACATAAGTCAATGTCACAAAAGTAAACTATAAATGTTTAAAGAAATAACAATTTATGTGTATTCATTTTACAATATTCAAGCAGGGTGCCCATAAATATTTGATAGCATCCGGGGCCGCCCTCGGCCTTGAATTCGAGGCACTGATGGTCCGCTTCATGGCGTAGTCCATAATAAATAATATAAATTCGACGTTCTAAAAAATTGTTTAAATTAATAATTACTAGTATGTATGGTGGTAGATTTTATTATTGGTCGGCCTACTGACCGAAAATTAGTTTTGAAACCAATTATGGACTTCAAATGTTTAAACACCTAAGTTATGATGTAGATGTTTAGCAATATATATATATATATATTATTCTGCCATGCTTGATCAAGTATTTGGCTAAACCGGTAAAGTATTTTTCAATACCATAAGTAAGGCAATACGCTTGTTAAGTAGATTTTGTACGGAAACGGCAAAATATTTTGTTATAAGTACAATACATGTTCTCAAAAATTCATTCATCGGAGGAAACGATTGAGGATGTCAATTTAAAAAAAAAAATCCTGGTTAGCCTATTTTTATGAGCGTTAAGAGTCGAAGAAAAATTAGAAATATCTGAGACAAAAAAATCATATTTTATATAAGGGCTATCGTTATTTGTGATCAACACTTGTGTTGTTTAATTCTAATATTTCAATAATAATATCAATATCAATAATAAAATTGTACCTTTGGGGTCACTTAGTTTAGGAAAATAGAGTGAAATAAATAGTTTTATTGATGGTGAAACTAAAACATAATATTAATAGTAATTAGTGGAGCACAGAAGAACAGCCAAGAGTTGTTTCGACCATCCTTTACACCGGTGTCGTAAATTGCCTACACGTTACGCCTATTAAAGTGTAATAATTCTACACTATTCTTTTGCCTCCATAGTATAGTCCCTACATTCTATGCTAAGTGTATAATAACTGTAAGAATATTCCATGAAAATGTGTACGCCCCTAATGGAACAACCAGATGAAATTTTGTGATTTATAGAGTTGATACTCAAAATAATTGATCCCGTATTAAAAAAGTTACAGTGAACACCATCGGTGTATTTCGACTATTACGCTTACAATACTCACAAAAATCAACAAAACCCTCACCTGAAAAAAATGTAAATGTTAGTCAATAAAAATGTCCAATACCATGTTGTTCTTAAGTATTTACCGTTTTTTTCTTGGTTCTTGATAGGGTCATTGTTGTCGGATGAACAGAAGTACATGTGCCATCTAGAAGTGTTAAAATAGCAATAAATAATTTATATTACATTCTATTCATTATTAATTTCTTAGAAGAACATGTTAACCAATATGTTAAAAGATTATTGTTGCAAATTTTTCAAGTACAAAATTATTTGAATATCGTCTTTACGCCTGCTAGTATGATCAATCATACTGATAAAGTAAAAAAATAATAATATTATAACTACTAACCTGATTCGAAGCCATTAACAATTTTAGTAATTCGCAGTACTTCCTCCTTTAAATTAGTGAATTTTCTGTAAACATTTTGCAGATAATTAAAAACCAAAAATCAATAGGTAGTGAAGTTTTTTACTACCTTTTTGACCGACAAGTTTGAGTACTTCTAAAACTTGTCATCGTATAATAATTTCTGTAATTCCGTTGCGGAGATTAAACCATCATCATCGTTGTCGTGGTTGTTAACTATCACTTGCCATTGCTCGGGTGTCAATTCTTCCAGATTTGGATTTATATTCTAGAATATTATGTACAATTAATTTTATGCGTATCATTTTATCAATAAAGGATGAAGTCGAATTGAAAAGTTAAAAGTTTTAAAATCTTTTGAAAATTTCGAAAACATAATTTTTTGCAATAGCAACTTTTTATATTATTTCCTCTAATTTGTAGGTACTTATTTCAAAAAAATAGTATGACATGTAAAACAATTTTGGGAAACTCGAAAATCGGGATATTTAAACTATTCCAAACAAGATTTTTCGAACAATTTCAAATTAAATTAATCGCATAATTCGAGTTTACATCACTCTGCTTACAATGTTATCCATACAATATTCTTAACAATCTCTATCGAAAATATAACGACTGTGCTGCAGTTTTAATTTTTTGACAAGGTTTTGTTATGAATAATATTCTTGTATACTGTTATTAATGTATAGTTGACATTAAAATACTAATCCTAAGATAAAATATTTTATTTCTATAGGTTTTATCTTTGGAAATACTTTGGAAACCCCTGTCTACCCAGTCACATGAATTTGCTGGGGATATTGGACAGACATCTTTTTTTTTTTTAAATAATAAAGCACTCACAGAATATTAGCATTCCGGAGCTAAACAATTATAATTTTATTGTTAATTCTTATGCTATTGTATTGACTACAGCACCAATAGTTTATTATATACAAACGACCAACCATATCGGTAATACTGTAATGCGTCTATTGTTTATTTACATGCATCTACAGATACTCATCGAAGCGTTTATTTGAATTTGATTTTATCTCACTTTGAGTCAAAATAATTCCTTTAGACCTATAAACTCCCTCACTCCCTTTCCAATAAGATCCGTTCCCACCATGCCCCGACCGTAATGTTTTGGCTTTTTAAACTTAAATTATTACATTTATACATTTGATGAACTTATTAAATAAAGAATAATTTTCCGAAAATGTGAAACAAATTGATATTTGATACCTTTTTTGATATTAGATACTTATAGTGAAATGATTGTGGGAAATTTTTATAAATAATAAAAAAATCGGTGGCATTTATCGTGAGTTGTAAAACTGTACTTTTGACAACGATTTTTTTTTGATACATCTGTGACGGCTGACAATACAAATAAAATATGATGCGTCTTGGTAGCTCGACGCAACAAAATATATTTACCAGGTGAATTGTTAAATTTTGTACCTACATATTTTTGTATGTATCATAGTAATAGTTAGAACAGTAAAAAGTTTCAAATATATCTTTGTTGTAATTAAATAAATGAAAACAAATTTAGAAAAGAGCTTGTGTTGTAGATAATACTATGTGAATTGCTTGTTCAAGAAAAGCAATAAGTAAAAAATTCCAAAATAAATGGAATAACACAAAAAACTGTTTTCAAATTAGACATTTGCTGTTCTTTTTGTATAATTGTTGTATTGTATGATTTTGGTGGTCTGCAGAAAATATTTTTAAAAAATTGACTGTATAATGCTATTGAAGTAGAATATTGTTGTCTCAGTTTAACAAGTAAACAATTCTTGGTGTATATTTTGGCGGATGGTGACGAAATTGATGATTTATTTTTATCGTCCAGCCATTGGTTTTGTGATTCGTTTGTATAAATTTTTGGTTAAGACTTGTGAATAAGCTTGGTAAACTCTCAAAATATTGCTCATATTATGTAAACCCTCAATAAGCAATAGGGTGGGTTTTTTTTCCTAAAATCTTACGAGTTTATTTGTTCACTTATCAATCATGAACTGAATAAACATGGATATGTTATCTCTTAGCACTTATATCCTATCATTTATCTCTTATCTCTAACCGAAAGTGAAAGTGTAACGTAAAAATGATAACATACCATTTCTTGTATCCAGCCCAATAATATATTCATGTTAAAACACAATATCTTCCAATACAACCTACCCTAATAAAGTTTAGCAAAATATTTATTGAGTAACATATAGGTTGGCATTTCCGCAACTTCCCAAACTGACTTTATCTAAAAAAATTGCTTTCGATGTTAAAGTTAAAAAATAGTAGTTTTTTCAAGTAACTTATGAAGTTATACAATATTAATTTAACATTAGATTCGTTTATAAACTCTTTAAGATAATATAAGGCGATAAGGTATAGGAAAGGATTAATTTGTATCCATTAAAGTGTAATAGAAAAATAAAAAAATATACAAACCAATATTTTTGTACGTGTATTATATTTATTAAATCGTTGGCAGGTATACAAATTAAATAAACAATCAATTGATTATTGACAACCGTTTGTCTTTATTGAAAGTTCTGTACTATGTATTTATATTGCAATATAAATATATGTGTAATGTAATATTATTGTGCATAGTGTATTCCTTAATATTATTTTAAGAAATATGTTGTAATATTTGAAATAAATTAAAATTTTTTAAATATAATTTTAGCTTTAAACAAACAAAAAATGACTATAAACTTTACAAATTATTGGTAACTATTCGAAATTATTATTTTTTTGTACTAAGACGTCTCATGAAATCTTTGAAGAGTTTAGAGATTTGCTTATTCTTAAGAAGCTTATGTTTACTTATATATTCATGAAAATCAGCAACACCGGAGCCTAAAAAAATTAAAATGTTAATTAATAAAAATGTCCACTACAATGTTGTTCATAAGTACTTACCTATTGTTGAATTAAACTCCTTTTTTATATTTTCCATCTAAAAGTTTTAAGAAACACATTATATTATATTATGTTTTAACACAAAATTTCTATGTTAATACAGAGTTGATTAATTTATTTTGAGATGTTTTTATTTCATCAATTAATAATCGGTGAATACAGAAAACAACAATTGAGAAATTACGGTTTCTTTTATTTTAGCAGAACACGTTTAAATAACATGTTAAAATATTGTTGTAGATAATTTTTTGAAGACAAAATTTAAATATTACATTTCCACCAGGTAGTAAGTTCAATAATATTAAAACTATAAATACTAACCACTTGTAAAGCCCCCAACATGGTTAATATTTCGTAGTACGTCGTCCATTCAATTGTTGATTTGCCTGTAAGCGGTTTGTAGATTATTAGAAAAACAAAATTCAATAGTTATTTAAGTTTTTTACTACCGTTTTGACCAAGTAGCTCGAGTAATTCATTAACTTCGTCTTCGCTTTCGAACAGTTCTTCATAATGAGTGGCTAATGCAGTAACGAATTGTGCAGTCGGATAAATGGAATTTTCGTTGACTTCTTCAGACTTCCCTTCACTTACTCTCTAAAAAAAATAAAAAAAGCGCATATTATTATGTCAATTTAATAAGGACTTTGTTTGATAAAGCTAAGATGCAAAAATTATTATACAGGACAATTTATTTAGAATAACACACATCAATTTTGTAGTATTTCCTCTATGATAATGATTAATTATTGTTATTTTACAATATTAGATACACTTAAATAAATTTGCATTATTTCTGGTATTCTATCTGTTGTCGAAACTTAAATGGTGACTTAAATACTTAATTAACTTTTTTAATTGGGAATAATTTGCTGAGAATTTCGACTGGTCTATAATTAGTTTTGGATAAATAATTTTAAAGTTAGAAAAGTTCTATAATTATTATTATTTGTCATCGTTTATGGTATATAAGAGCGACACATACTGCAGTAAGATATTTAAACTTTCTGTCACAACTAAAACAAATATCAAGGTCTAAAAGTTTAAGTTAAAATTCGACTGAAAACATCAAAACAACAAGAATTCTAGATTGCTAAGTGTCAGTGAATTAACATTTTGAGCTAATTACACTCAACTTAAAATGTCATTTAAATATATTGTTTTTCTTTAAGTTGCCACGTTTTCTGGAAAATCAATTTTTGGAAAGTAAAAATTCAAAAGGAAAAACTACAAAATTCAAAAAAGATAACCAACCCGTATGGTAACAATAGAAAAACTGAATATACCTGTGACAAAACCAATATTATCGGTTTCATTTGTTTCAATTGTTTCCACCCTATGTTATCGCTTTCTGAAAATAATTTAGGCATTTGAAGTATTATTTCTTCGGAGAACGATATTTTATTTCAATATTACTCCAAGAATTAATTAATAATATATATGTCTGTGCATGACGAATGGTGACGAATCCGCGGAACTCTTTGAATAATAGTGTCTGTAATTCCCTTGCCCAGATTTTACCATCATGATTGTTGGCGTACTTGTTTAACATCGTTTTCCAATCATTGTCTTTTAAATTATCCAAATTTATATTCTAGAATAATATGTACAGTTAATTTTGTGGAAATCGTTTTATCAATAAAAGGAATGAAGTCGAATTAAAAAGTTAAAAGTTGTAAAATCATCAGAAAAATGCAAAAACATAATTTTCTGCACTGGAAACTTCTTATATTTTTTTCATCTGATTTTTAGTTACTTATTTTAGAAAATAGTATCACGTGTAAATGAATTTTGAGAAACTCAAAAATCGGGTTTATACTAAATAACAATGTTAAAAAAATCATAAAAACGCAAGTATTTCTATTTTACATAACACATAAAATAAAAATGGTATTATTTTTTTTTAGATTTTGGTGTGTTTTTTTTTTTGCTTTTGTTAGACACTCATTCCTATATCGATAAAATATGAAAAATAAAATAAAAAACATAACATAAATTAAGTTTTTATGTTATTTCGGCCATGTTTACTGTAAGCTTTTAAATATTTCTGATTTTTAGATACATACCACAATAGAAGTACCACTCGAAGAAGGTCCAGCCGCTGTACCAGATTCTTTTGCTCCACCTGCGGTAATACTTTCCTCTATGAAACCCACGACACACAAAAGTAGGATAATATTTGTTGAAAACATTTTAATTCACAATATGTACGTGCCGTGTATGGGACCTGCTAGAAAATGAAAATTTCCTCACTGCTATTCACTAACAGTTTTTTCGCCGTATGAAGTATGAACAGATATTTACCGACGAGTATGTTTGAACTGAAAGTATTATCGTTTTCTGTTAAAACGAAATTGTTTTTTGGTTTTCTGCTTTTGTTGTTGTTGTAATTGTTTTTATTTGTACAAATGTTTCGAATGCGAAAATATTTTTTATAAACGTGCCTTAGCCTTTATATCAAGCACGTGTACCTTCAAATTTATTACTAAAATATGGTATTCTAATATTTTCGGTAAGTCGAAATACATTTAAAAAATGTATCGATTTTATAAGGATGAGACACTCATTTTCTTTTAAAATAATCGCATTTTTGTAGATTTCATGATTGGAAATACTCAAAATGCTAAAAAGAAAAACTACAAGAAAGCCGCTCCTCGCTTCGAATCGGGAATTGTTTTTATTCCTTTACTCCCAAATCAAATTACACCAAGACAAAGTTTGGGTTTGTCTATTTAATTTTACTGCATGTAACTATTTTAATTATAAATTACATAGAATACATTCTTTTTTTTGAAAATTATAGAAAAAGTCCACGCTGTACTCATCCCATCTTTAAACTACGTTGAGAACATTTGGTTCAATAGACCAATGCTAATTTGTAAACACTGCACCTCACTTTAAAACTTTCGTACTGCGCTTAGTTTGGACTTAAGTGTTTTGAAAATACTATACATATACTGATTCGCGTCGAAGCATTTATTTGAAAATGATTTTATCACTTTCAGTTGTAATAGTTCCTTTAAACCTATGACCTCCTCGTCTCTACTATGCCCCGACTCTAGTGTACTGGGTTTATTTAATAGTATTTCATTTGGTTGCTTGTTTTTTTAAATGTTTAATCTATCTCCTTGCGTGGTTTAAAAATGTTCATTAACGTAATATTAGATACGGCCAAAAGAGTAGGTTTAGAAATAAATGCTAAAAAAACTGAGTATATGATCGTGCAGAGAAGAGAGGTCGCGGATCATGTAAACCCACTTTTAGAAGTTGGTCAGTACAAGTTTCAGAGAGTGCAAGAGTTCAAATATCTGGGATCGATATTGACATAAAAAAACGATAAACTTACTGAAATAAAAGCGAGACCCCAATTCGGTAATACATGTTACTACGGACTAAATAAGTTGTTAAAGGCGAGAACGATATCGAAGAATCTCAAGATACAGCTGTATCGCACTCTCATCCGTCCAGTGGTGATGTACGGATGTGAAGTGTGGACATTACGGAAATCAGAGCAAAACAGACTGCTGATTTTCGAAAGAAAAATATTAAGACGAATCTTCGGACCGTGTATAGGTGAAATCACGGGGGAATGGAGAATTCGAAAAAACGAAGAGCTTAAACAGTTTTACCAAATGCCTGATATAATTAGAGAAACAAAAAAAAGGAGACTCCAATGGGCAGGACATGCATGGAGAAAAGAAGGAACTTTAATTCGGATGGTTCAATGTGGGACTCTGCAAGGAAAGAGACCTCTGGGGCGACCACGACGAAGATGGGAGGACCAAGTCAGGAAGGATGTGCAAATGCTAGACCCAAATGCCATTTGGCATGACATAGCGATGGATAGGGGGAAGTGGCAATGGTCTTAATAGTCGATTACAAAGAAGAAGAAAGAACGTAATATGTAATAATATATTTTTTGATACATTTTAGCGGAAATCTTTTTTGTGTACATCCGTATTTAACTATTGTTGAAGTGTTTAAAATTAATTTTCATGTTTTTCATAAGCCTGTGACTACTTGGAATTAGTATTTAATGCATTATTATGGGACGTCTACAACGAGCATTTTTCGGTTTTAGTTGAAATTTCTGTGCTGTACAAAAACGAATAATAGGTATATTATTCTCTTACGTTACATACAGTACTTTCTACAACGCCAGTTGCTTTACAAAAAAATGAAAAACGCCTGTTGGTTACACGATTTTTTTATCCTATGACATTATAAGAACAGTCATATTTACAAAAATAATATTTTATAATTTTACCAATGTATTACATCTTTCGAGTGATTTAAATCGCCACAGGGCTTACCTGCAAAATTTACAATTAATGATACAAGTACAAAAGGATATTATACTAATATGGTTTTTTTTAATATTTGAAAACAAAGTTGTTTAACTTTAACTTATTTTCGCCGAACCTTCGGTTAATACTTAACTCATGTCACAAACCTACTGAAGTCCGAATTTCGACTATCCCCGCCCCTTCTGTGGAGTTAGAAGTTTTATTTTGTTAAAGGAAAATTTAGGATTAAAGAGCTGGAAATTGTAATTATATTGTTGATTATGACATTTTGTTGATCGTGGCGCCAAAAATTGATTATATACACACGACTAACCCTAACCGCATCCACCCTATTACTAAAAATACATTTTTAAGTAGATACGTTATTGCTAATGCTTTATATGTGTATATTTTTTATATACATACGTCTACAGTTGAAATAATTCCTTTAGGCCTGTTAACTACCCCACTCCCCCCCCCCCAACAAGCTCCGTTCCCACTATGACCCGACCGTATTGTACTGGCTTTGGAAAGTTTGGAAATTGTTAGATGTATACATTTGATGAACTTATTAAATAAAGAATAATTTGCCGAAATACGTAAAGCAATTTTCAACAATTGATATTTGATACTTTTTTGATATTTATTACTTAGTGTAACGGTTGTGGAAAATAGTAAAATTTGTATTCGCCGCCGAACAATCGGTGACATTTATCGAGAGTTATGTAAAACTATACTTTTGCCAACAATATTTTTTTGATACATCTGCGACGGCTGACAATACAAATAAAAAGTTGCTTCTTGTTAGGTCGACGCTACAAAACAAATTTACTGGGCGAATCGTGAAAATTTGTACCTACAAATTTTTTTATATAACTTACAATTAGTAAAATTTGTTACAGTAAATCATTTCAAAATTATCTCTATTGTAATTAATAGATAAAAAAAAAATAATAAAGAAACGAGCATTCGTGTCACCCGAATTTTTATTAAATTTCTAATCAAATGTTCAAAATGGTCATACAGATTTATACAAATTGAGTACTAATTTTTGGCATAAAAAAATGTAATGATCTCGATATTTGTATTAGAGCTGGAGAAACGTTTCTCCAGACCCCCATGATTTTCTTTTTTTTCCTTCTAAACCAATGTCGTACAAATTTTGAAAATTGTTATACAAATTGAGTACTAATTATTGACACAAGAAATTGTAAATATTATAATATTGTATATTACAATGTGTACAATTGTTGACAACACCGTCCATACTGAGCGATGTTTTCCATTTTGCATTTGCTTTACAAGCAACAAGTAACAAATTTATCTGATGTCATGCCGCCCACTGTTGTCGAGTATCCATTAACTTGTTACCAGTTGGTGGGATACATGTTGACAACACTGTTCCTACCTTTAGATGGAAATTGTTTTTACTTTTACACTTAACGCAGCTAAAGTGTAGACTTAGATAATTTTTTATGGATTTTCATACAAGTCTTAGCAATACATCAAATGTTGTCATTAAATTATGCGCAGCATTTAAATTTATGCAATAGGCATGTGTTCATGTATTAGCCGACTTTGATGAATGATGTCCGAGTACGGAGACTAACCGTAGTCTATGAGTACCTACACTTAAAAACTTAATAAGTTCACCCCTTCCCCTACAAAATCGAGGAAAAAGCCCAATACATTTACATATTTCTCAGCTTAAAATTAAAGAGCAGCATTTCAAAACGTGTTATTGTTATTTTTTTAAGAAAAGAGTTATACAATATTTATTATGTATAATTTTTTTATGTAACTTCCTAAAAATTTGTAACAGTAAATCATTTATAAAATTAATTAAATACTAAATTTTGGGCCAATGTATGTAATTTTATTAAATTTATACATAATATCAATGAAAGTATAATATTTGTATTACTTTTAAAAAAGTAATTTGTATTTACAAAGTATTTCTAAAAAGATTGGTTTTAATTTCTTTTTACTTTCTTATCAATTATCATTACTTCAAAGATTTTCCCTTGTAAATTATATAA